TATGTATGTATGTCAAAGGTATGTGTATCTGGGGAAACATACATACCCGGAAAATGATAGGTATGTATGTATGTCTGGGTTCGTAGTGAATCCACGGAGTTGCGCGACTGTCTGTCCCCAGGACTGATTCTCCCCGAATGTAGCCAGCATTGAGCAACTAGGTGCGGTTTTTTTCGCTCCACCTTCTTCACATCTGGGGGCTCCCGTCTCTCCTGGTTTGGCGGAGTGAACGGGGGGTCGGGGCCCCGAGAGGTAAAGAACTAGATGATGCGTTCTTAAAGTTTGACCAACTCTCTGCAACGCGTGAAAAGAGCGCTAGTGGTTGTGTTTGTTCATATGGCCTCATGAGTAAACACAACACATAGCATCTTTCACCGTAGCATTGGGCTCGAAGGGCCCTCCCTTCCCCCTTCCCTCCCTTAGTGGAGGTTCGAAAATGAGAGTGGGGAGTTTTTCTCTCGCTTTTTGTCGGACAAACCTTCACGATGGAGTGCTCTGAAGGTTTCCTCTCTAAAAACACTCGAGCCTGAATATATGCACCGGTTTGGCGGTTGCATGTTTGGGGGGTGTAGGGGGGCGGGCCCGTGTACATCCGCAGCCCCTCCATTACCAAAGATTCGCATCTATCACTGTTCGGCCTCCAAAGTCTTTCGTGAAGGCCCCTGCCCCGGCGCCGGCAGCACCCAGCGTTGCAAGGCCCAGCGCGTGGGGAAGACTCGGCAAAAGGCAGACAGTTGGTGAAACCACGTGAAACCCATGGTGATATTATTTGATGCTATTCGAGGTCTTTGAGGAGGGATGGAGGGTACAGTAATTACATCTGATGGCAATGGCTATGGTTGCAACGAAGATATCGAACCAAAGCCAGCTGATCAATTTATGGGTCTCCTTGTTAATATTTTATCAAGTCTCCTTGGTAAAACCCCCACACATGGCAGGTGTCACAGCCTCCAAAAAGCATGGCGGTTCAATCCATGAGGCTTGATCTCACTGAAAACCAATGGCAGAATCCAATTTGTGTGCCAAACAAACGGCTTCGAGAATCCTTTGCTTGCTTCACCTCACTTGGCTTCTTTTTTCGGCCCCCATGATCCATCCAAACCGGGTTGGTGATGCCATATTCATAGCCCCGTGGCGTGCCAGGCTCAGAACCACCATGCCCATGGCAGTTGTGCCCAGCCAGCCACTGACCTGAGAGGACCGGTGCTTCTAAAGGAACTGAAACAGGACCTGGCCGGGTGGCCCACTGGTGGCTGGAGGAATGGCACGCATATGATCTTCATATAGATATAATCATCACCATGATGTTGAGTTATTTATGTGTCCTCTCTGATTAGTGTTTAGGCCATGAGTGAATACATGTGAAAAACACGTCGGCTTTTGAAACTCCTCAGAAGTGCATCTCCTTCATCTGCCAGCACTTCCAATGCCAACAAAAACAGCCAAGGAAAGGGAGCTGCGAGGACACCAACTTCAATGCAAATTACAAACAGGTCCTCCTCTCTGTTGATGCGACTCGCTCAGCCAAACGCATAGACAAATCGATATGTTGCGACTGGTCCTCGCTATGTTTCTTTCGATCACATCGCGTAGCACAAAGAAACATGCATTGCCCGCATCTGCACCCAACGCAATAAGAATAAAAGGCGCATCACATATCCCACCATGGTGCCCCTCCCCGCTCCGATGTCCAAGAGGCAGGTCCTGGGACTGCCATCCCTTCACCATAGCCTCCGTACCAGCGGTGCAAAACAACTTTCAGGACTCGGAGCTTGACCACCGGTCAGGGGATGGCAAAGCGATCAATGTTGGGAAATATTGCAAGTCCCAAATCGTTGGTCTGGAGAAAGTTGACCACACATTAGTTGTGCACAGATTAAAAAACATCTAGCTGACCACTAGTGCCAAGTGTTGAACCGCACGGGTTTCGCGGCCAACCCGTCAATTTCCGGGTTCCTGTCCAAAGAGATGCATGGTCAACCGCCGCCAAGTGGCTTAGCCCTTGGCCGTACTCGTAGCCCATCAGGGCGTTGCTCCGCCGCACAGTGCGAACACTAGGGTTCGAGAGCCTGGATGCAGATCTATAAATCTCAGTGATCTGCGGGGCGCCCCTTGGTGTACAAAATCTGAAACCGCTAAATGCAATTGATACCAGGATTATGTATGTATACCCCTGCATGCATGCCCAAGCCAAACCATACTACCAACCTGCCTCCAATCACCCAGCTTAGGCCCAGATCACACCGGAACCTCCATAAGTTCCAATTCCCCTCAACCCTCAACTCCACCAACAAATGCACCACAGATACAAACCACACCCACACACACCCCAGAGAATTGAGCACATCCCCCTTCCCCACCATGCTGCTTCGCCACGGGCTCATCATCACCCAGCGCTCGTTCAGCTCATCCCAGCGTGGCAGGTTTGTGTCGCCCCCGTCGCAGCGGTCCGGGCCGCGCAAACCGCCGGGGGGGTCCATGCCATAAGGGTCCTTCCAAGCTTCAGCGTTCCTTGCAGGGATGAGTAGGGGAGGGCGGCCGAGGAAGACGTGATCTGAATAGGAGGTGCGAAGCTGGGCAGCTTCGGCAGTGATGGTCAACAAAGATTGCAGGTACGAAGGCGCGAAATCTGAGACTCATCTCTTGGAGGCCTTTCTTTTTGGTGAAGGCCTTCAAAGAATTGGCAGCAATGGGCAGTCATCCACTGACGGGTGGCTGAAAGTTAGCTAAAGACTTGTGGCGTGAGTGATCTCTTTGCAAACGCAAAAATGAACTCAAATCTGGCAAGCTGAGAGGGGTTCAAAGTACTCCAACAAAATTGACAAAACATATAAAAGTATACAAATGGCTATGAGTCTATCAACTCTGCAAAATCCAGGGCAATCTCATGGAAAAAATCCAGAGAGTTCACTCACCTGCACAGGTCTTGCGGTGTTTGCTTCTGAATCACACTGAGCCGGGCTGCTCTTGGTCTGTGGTAAGCATATGAATGCCACCTGAGCTGTGTCAAGGAGTCAAGGCCATGTTCAAAAATGTCCATAGATTACACTCGCTCTCCCACAAACCTTGAGTCAAACCTGGTCAGCCTGACTTATCTCAATGAGACAACAAAAGAATGGTAACCAAGCTCTTGAGCATTCCTGCCATTTCCTGCCCATGACCTTCTCCTCCCAGCGTTCCCAGCGGCTGTAGATGGTACCTCCACTGACACCAACACTGGTCTTCAACACCGCCGCACGGATCTTACCTCGACAACCGTAACGTGAAAAGGAGCGCTCCCATTGGATGTGGCATCCCTTCTTGGATCTCTTTTAGGGGGCTTAGAGGATGGCTTGGGGTGGGAAAACCATATGGACGGGCACAAAGAACATGTGGGGCATCTGGGCAAAAATGTGAGGGAGGGAAGAGTGGAGGGAACTGTGCCACAGTACCGCGGCTTGACACAGGAAGAGTGGAGGGAACTGTGCCGCGGCTTCCAAAGCGACTCTATGAACCTCTCCCTCTCTCTTTCTCTTTCTTTGCAGGTTGTTGGTGAGCTCAGCGGAGGGCCATGATGGAGTGTGTTGCATCGACTCATCTACTCTACTCAGTCAGCTGGCAGAACTCCTTCCCACTCCCTAACTCTGAAGAGTAGGTGGTTATGGAGTTCTGGGGTATCGAATCGGATGACGGACCCCAAGTCTAAACGCAGGGAATGCTGCTGGTGTCATGAATTACACCAATCATCCAATATCCAACGATTCTGCTTATCCAAAGTTTGATCCAAAGGTGCCAACTGTCTAATTTGCCATCAAAGTACCCAACGTTTTCGCTGAATTCCCTGAGATATCTGAGATGCTCCCCTTGCGGCAAAGCGACTGCAGCCCATGCCATAGCGTTTTCGCATCTCTTTGGCCACCATGAAGGCCTCATTCGCACTGATCGATCACGGTGGTCAGGCATTTCCCGGATGGGTAGCCATCAGAGTTGCAAGTGCTGGTAGTTGGTGTCAAGTTCTATTTTGTCTGAAGATCGTCGAACCTTTAGATGATAACGATGTTTGAAGCAAAGCTTTCTGCGGCCATATCAATCTAAACTAGCGCTTGCAATTCTCCAAACTAGTTGATGGCCGCGTTTTCCATCATCCAAATCTGAGAAAGAACTGCAAAGAACTTTCCGGGACCTCCCACTCATGCAGTAGCAGGCTTCAGTTGAGAGGCTATAGACGTACTGGCAGTAGAAATTTCATTAAGGCTGCCCCCTTTCTCAAGCGAATCCTTTCTGAAGCGACCCGTGTGTTCACGGCCCGACCCCAAACCCCCACAACAAAGGCGATCAGCAAGCGGCTGCGATGTCGCAGGGGATGCTGTCAAAGCCGCACATGTGCAGAATCCTTGGGTGTCCACTTAGCCCACCAAAGCACCCTCCCAGTGTCCCAAAAAGGGGGAACAGAACACTGAGCCGGCCCTTTTTGGCCAGTCACCAAGGGACATTGACGGCCCAGTGGATCCAGAACTCAGAACAGAATGGCAAGATCCAAGGGAAAACCACCTCACCCCCTAAGAAATCATACCCATCTCTCCTGCAGCTGATCCCAACTCCACTCCTTGCAGCTGAGCTTCCTATGAAAATGTTCATGAAAACTCCATTGCCAAGGAAAACCAACAAAACGCCACCAAAGCCAACACAACAAGGCATAAAAATCAAAAAACAACTTGGCTGAGCTCCACATTGGTGAAAGGGCACTCCCAGCTTCTCCTCCTAGCTTCTTTCCGCCCTCCGAGGCTCAAGGACTTGGTCTCCTTGGCCTTGGCGTCGTAGAGCTCGGCCGAGGTCTTCGCGAAGGGCGCCTCTCCCGTGATGTCCTCGGACCCCCGGCGCGAGCGAGCAGCCGCGGGGGAAGCAGGAAGGCGCTATGTGGTATCATCTGGTGATAGGATGTGCTGGAGGTGAGCATCTTCATTCCATGTAGCCATGCCTTCATTGGTACGGGGCAAGTTCTCCGTATGCAAAGGAGCTGCCGTTCGCGAACAGTTTCTTCTAGAACCTAGAAGCTTTCGAGTTTACTTCTTGGGCCTCATGACCTTAGATGCCACTTCTTTTGGCATATCAAGCTGCGACATAGCAGCACCCATTGGAAGCGCAAGCTTCGACCACTGGCAGGGCCTTGGAGAACCAAGAACGTTTGCGCGGCAGCGTCTGATGGGATTTGTAGATGTGGGCAAACACCCTCCCAGAAAGAATGAATACTGGATCATCCCGGATAGCCCTTGAAACAGAGTTGACTCGCCACCCATCCCCATAACCCAGCAAAAAATAGTACAAAAACTGCACTGTTGCTGCGTCCCCAGCCGTATCGCCGTATGCCTCTCGCCAAAGCTATTTTTCCCTTTTGCCGGGATCCCCGAGCTCGCCTTGTCTGCATAGGGTGAGCCAGCGAAGTTCAAGATCACTTTGGCCTTCTTGGCGATCTCCTCCAGCCAAACAGGTGAGCCGTCACTTACTGAACAGGTGAGAGATCATGTGAGGCAGAACCTCCAAACAAAAGTAACTAAATTATTGCCTGAAGGCCGCCCCATTGAATGGAACATGTGTGATTTTCATTGCATCAATCTCAGCAGTGCCGTAAAACGTTATTTGATACGAGGTCCCGGAACGATATCCAGCACTTGAAGAGGGAGAGATTTTGCCTCTGTCTTCCACAGGTCTTGGCCGCTGACCCATGAGCAGCGTGAAGTTTCCAAGTGCTTCTAGCACTTCGAACTACCATCCATGTTATGCTGTCGTGACGGAGAGAAAACAGCTGCAGGGTTGAACTTCCTGATTTGAACCACATTGATTTCAAGAAGGACACATCAATATCATCAATCGCCAAACGACCAGGATCCCCCAAAATCCAAGTGTGACGGAAAACCTGCACTGTAAAAACAATGAAACACGACGCTCATCAAACAACCAATTGCACCATCAATTGTCGAGCTCCCATTGGCTTCCAATCCTCAAAGACCGCCCAACCTATCAAAACCTAGGACCTTCGTCCAGTCCTTCAGCTCTTCTATCTTCTTCACATCCACCTCCGTCCGTCGGTGTTGAAGAACGTGTTGCAGCGAGACGTGTCTTAGGAGTCCTCTCACTGGAGCAGTGGTCCATTATGCCTAGCGACCTGCAGCTGCTAGGAGAACTTTGGTGTGAATCAGCCCGTTTTGAACTTCCCCGAGCTAAAGTGTAAACATCTGTAAACCTTGGCAATCCACGTCAATCCAACCAGTTCCAAGAGTTTGACCTATGGCAGTTCTCAGCTCTGTCCAAACCAGGCCGCAAATGGCTGGCAAACAAGTCATAACAAGTTCCTGTGCTGCCTGACTGCCGGCGTCTTCCACCACCCAAGTCCCAGAACAAACCAACCAAAAGCCGTTCGATCCCTCCCGTGCCTTCAAGAGGGGAACCTCTTTGGCAACCTGCTGTTGGTGCAAATACTGGATCGAGCAGGTGCTCAAGTTAGTGCGTCCATGTAGTGTGATCATAAGCCAATCATGGGGATCTATATATGTGCAAGATTGCGCAAGTACATGCAAGTACGGCAAGTTTTGCACTTCCTGTCTATAGACTCAAATTGAACTCGGGTTGGGCCGGAGTCAATTCATTAGTGGGTGGTCAACCAAATAGATCATGCATTTAAGACCCGCTTTATAGTTGGTATGGCCGAACTCTGCCAACTTATTGAAAAATGAACAAGATGAAGCCCACGAACCCGAATGCAAACACGTTCAAAAAGCTACGTATGTCCAAATGACACTCTTGTAGGACACTCTTGTGGGACACTCTTGTGGGTCACTCTTGTAGGAAACTCTTGTGGGACACTCTTGCGGGACACTCTTGTGGGACACTCTTGTGGGACACTCTTGTGGGACACTCTTGTGGG